TGGATCCCAGGGAACGTGGGTCATCAGGGCTGTGCCCAGCCTGGCTCCTCCAGTGGGGGATGGAATTGGATCAGTGCACGAAGTTTTTCTTGCATTAGGGGGATTTGCAGGGATTGCATTAATGCTGCCTCTGTTGGTGTCTGTTCAAAGCTCAGCTCTGGGAGAAGTTCTTCCAACACTCAGGACACTCGTAGGGCCTCCCCCCAGTGTGGATATTTTGGTGTTTGATCAGGCTGGAACGCTGCCTGAAGCCCTTCCCACACTCCAAACACTTGTATGGCCTTTTTCCAGTGTGGATGTTCTGGTGGCGGATCAATGTGGCACGATCAGTGAAGCTCTTCCCACACTCCTCACACTTGTAGGGCCTCTCCCCAGTGTGGATCCTCTGATGGCTGATCAGATGGGAGCTCTGTCTGAAGCTCTTCCCACACTCCTCACATTCGTGAGCCTTTTCCCCAGTGTGGATGCGCTGGTGTCTCGTAAGGGAGCCGTTTTCCCTGAAGCCCTTACCGCAGTCGGAGCACTGGAAAGGCCTTTCCTCTGTATGTGTCTGGAAGTGCCTGAGGAGAATGGAGTGGGTGGTAAGCCTCTTCCCACACTTGGAACACTCTTAGGGCCTCTCCCCAGTGTGGATACTTTGGTGGCTGATCAGGCTGGAACGCTGCCTGAAGCCCTTCCCACACTCTCCACACTTGTGAGGCTTCTCCCCAGTGTGGATCCTCTGGTGGCGGATCAGGCTTTTCCTCCACCTGAAGCTCATCCCACACTCTGAGCACTTGTGGGGCTTCTCCCCATCACGAAGCTGCTCATGGACCACCAGCTCCGAGCTCTGGCTCCATCTCTGGCCGTTCCCCCGGCCCAGGCTGGGGCTTTTCTCCTCAGATCCCTGCCATCTGCGTTTGCAGCCCCTCCTCGTGCGGGATCTCCGCGGCTTTTCCTCCCCGTTGCATTCCTGCGCCGTGGAGCCGCTCCAAACGGCCTCTTCCACGAGGTTCTGCCGCGGGGATTTGTCCTCCCTGCTCTCCGTGCTCAGCTCCTTGTCTGGGGCAGGAAGGACAAGCAGAGGATGGGATTTGCCTCCGTGCAAGAGGGAAGGGGAAGGAGATCCCCCCAGCGCGTCCCCGGCAGGACGGCATCAGCAGCGGGGTTGTCCTGCAGCCGGGGGCTGTGCTGGGCTGGGAGATGGAGCAGGACAGAGGGGGAAAGGGGCACTCACTTCCTCCTCACCTGCCTGCGGCTCCCGGGGCATCTTCATCGCAGCCAAGGGTTGGGAATAGGAAATCCTGGTTTGGGGAAAAACAAGGGATGAGCGTGTTGTGTTGTGGGTTCCTCCTGCCCAACTCCATCTCTAGAAGTCCCCGAGCATCTGGGGTCCATAAAAACCTCCCAAACACCAACATTCAGCCCTGAAAATGCCTCCCACGAGTTCCTGGGAATGGTACCTCTCCTTTGGTGTTTGGGGGTTCCCCCCAGTCCCAGCTGCTGGGGGTCACGCTTGTATTGGGGGTCCCCCATCTACTCGGTTCCCGCCCTCCCCGGGCTGCTGGGAGTCCCAGGAATCCAAAAAGCTCCCCCCTCTTTTGTTTCCCCATTTAGGGATGCTGGGGGTTTTTGGGGTCCCTTCTCCCCTTATTCTCCCCTTATTCTCTGCTTTGGGGTGCAGGGGGTCCAGGGACTCCCCCCTGCCCCTCTCCAGGCTGTTGAGGGTCCCAAAATCGCGGCGCTCCCCCCTCTCTGGGCTCCCCACTTTGGGGTCCTGGGGGACAAAGGGCTCTGCTCCTCCAGGCTGCCTCTGCCGGCAGCCGCCACCGGGACCCCCAATGTCCCCCCAAGGTGCATTTTCTGATCAGATTTGGAGCTGTGCATTCTCCAAACTTCTCCCAACTTACCAAGGAGAAAAAAAATCATTCTGAGAGGCGCTGAGGCTATTCTAGGGGTTACTGAGTGCAACTGGGATCAAACTTGGGGCAAGTGAACCACGCTGAGATAACTGGGAGTGCCTGGGGAGGACTACAAGGTTGATCAGTGCAACTGGGATATACTGGGAATGTCTGCGACTATAGGGGTGGTGATTGGGACCTAATTCAGAATGTGCTGGGGGAAAAACTGGGACCATGCTGGGGCAACTGGGGGCAAGTGTGAGTGACTGGGGCCCTCTGGCAGACTGGCATCATACTGGACTCATATTTGGATTGTACTGGGAGTGACTGGGACTGTGCTAGGGGCAACTGCAGAACTGGGAACACATTAGACCAAATTGGGAGGGACTGGGAGCAACTGGGGCCGTGCTGGGAGCAAACAGTATCATAATAGGGAATAACTGGGAGTGACTGGGCTCATACTGGGAGTGCCGAGGAAACTGGAACCACACAGGGGGAGCAACGGGGCTCATACTGGGAGCAACTGGGCTCATAC